CATAATTTTAATAATGATAGTGGGTTTATTGGACAATATTCAAATGTTTGATGATATATCAAAGAATGTATGCAGTATCATAGAGAATTAAAAACAAGTTACAAATAAAGAAATGAATATTTTTATAAAATATTGTTCATTTAATTTTGGTCGTACGATAGCTATTGCAGTGCTTACGGTAGCTATTGCAATGTTATGAATATATTTTATTGATCAATATTTATATTTTATAATATCTTATTATCGCAACTCTACGCAAGAAATAGATTTGTGAAGACGTAGTTTTATTTGCATATATTGTTTACATAAGCATCGGATGAAATTTTGATAAAAATTTCGAAACCTTTGTTTCATTCCTTCAATTCTTCTTGAATTTGTCTTACTACTTCTTCAAAATTCAATTGTTTTTCTTTATATATTTTACCGAGATATTATCGACGTTACATAACATTTTTTTACATTGTATGCGTAATTTTCTTCGTCATCAGTGAGTTCAATTTTGTCTGCATCTGATATATCAAATGCGATTTGAAAATCTAATGGTTCTTCCTCTTCCATTTTATGTTAATTATTTAAATAATTATTTATTTAAATAGCTAATTTATAATAAATTTAATGTATCTTTATAATAACTGATTATTTTACAAAAAATTTGTTGAACAAGAAAAATGAATAATCTTGTATAATATACAAATCATGTATAATATTACTATGTTTAAAAATCTTTAAAAAATATTATCAAAATTAATAAATTATTGATTAAAAAATTCTTAAGTTAATTAAAATAAATAATTATAATTTTAATTTAAAGAATTTATAAAATAAAAAAATGTATGAAAATATAAACAGCAATAAAAATTTTCAACTTTTTTTTTAAGTACATAGTTATTTATTAAGCTTGTATTTCTCACTTGTATCAATTGATAATATTTTAGAGAATAAAATTAATTATACAACTGTGAATTTGCTGCGATTACATTCTTTTGTACTAATGTCCATGCAAACAATGCTCATGTAAATAATATGCAAATAAAGCTGTGCCTTAGCAAATATATTTTTTGCGTAACGTTGCGATAATAAGACATTACGATACAAAACATAAATGTTGATTAATAAAATATATTTATAACATTACAATAGCTACCGTAAGCATTGCGATAGCTGCCGTACGACCAAAAATTAAATAAACCATATTTTATAAAATTAAATAAGTCATATTTTATAATCATTTCTTTATTTGTAACTTGTTTCTAAATATCCAAAGTGCTTCGTACGTTTTCTAATACCTCATCAAAAATATTTGACTTCCGTTTAACAAAACCTGCTATCATTATTACTATTATTACTATTCTCATTATTATTATTATTATTATTATTATTATAAAAAAGCTCTTATTTCAATAATTATTGTGACTGATACTGACGAACTGCATCATATTCACCTTTAATGTTGTCCCGCGCATCCATCGCGGTATGAGACGAATACGTATGTATGGAGCGCGTATAAAGGTATTTCTCTCTTATTTCTCAAAAATGTGATTTTGGAAAATAATTTTCCTTTTTTTGATAGTTTTAACGGTTTGGATGATATTTATTCAGAAAGAAAAAAAAACAATTTTTTTCGAAGGGTGGTTTCCCCCTTAACATTTGAGAACGCAGATAAAAAAAAATTAT